CGACCAATTCGGGGTGCGACCAGAGTCACGGAACGAATTAAGTTCGTAAACCGAGGTTCCATGGTAGTTTTTCAATCTATATGTAATAAAATGTAACAATTCTCAGTTCCAGAAGGAAGAGCTAGGGATGGGGGAGCTACAGTGCTAACATTAGTTAATATGAGTTCTACAAAAAGAGAGAGAATTGAATGAGTTTCTCTTCTACTGCTATTTGCATCATAAATAAGTCTACAACTTTGCATGTGAGTGGAACAGAAGAGGAAAGGCAGGAATTTGTGGTATTTTAAATATTATTTATTTTTCTTGCATAAAATTTAGATTAGGTGTCATTATATTAACAAATGTTGAGATTTGGTTTTCCAGTCATACACTCAATAAGATTCATAAATCTATGTAATGGCAGATCTCAAGCCTGACAATTACTAAATATTATTACTAAAGCATGTGTAATACATATACGTGGGCTTGCACAGAAAATCATGTTCCTCTTGTTATAAAATCTGTCCCTAACAGCACAATTCTTCATATGCATACAGGAAGAAGGAATGTTGTTGGCTAGATGTTATCTGTGCAAGCTTGCAACTCATGCAGGAAAAAAAAAAAGGGTTTCAGCTAGTAAATAGGAGGATTCAAATTTCTCACAACAAAATGGACATATCATACTTCTAATTGCAGGTCTCTATTTCTCCATAGGGAAACCACATCCCACTCAAAAGGTGCATCAGGATGTACATAAAATGGATTTATTTTCACACTCGAGAATAGTAGTTTGGATATGTGCAGCATCACACCAGTTATGTTGCTTGAAGATAAAAAGAATACTGTGCATTTAATGCAGTGCCACAAAATATGCAGTTTGGAAAATGCTAACATATAGATAAGAGAGTCTGAAAGAAGTCAAGTCTACATTTCCACATGAGTGAGTGCTATGAATTACCCAATGCATTTGTATCTCAGACACTTCAACAGGTTATAAACAGGTTACTACCACCCTGTGCAGAGGACACCCAGAAGAGTTGGGGTGCTTTATTTTGCCATACTTCACTTTGACAGTCTGCATCAGCTTCTGCTCACAGACTGAGAAATGATGTTGGACAAAATGAACAAATTCCCCATGCAGGCTGCATGTTTAATCATTCACTTTAGCCAGGCGATCAGCTAGTTTGGAGATGGTTTCTTCTTGTTGTTCAAGAAGATCCAGGATAATGCCCATGGGAGTCTTCTTTAAGCCAATGCTTTCCATCTTGTTCTCCAGTTTGTTCTTTATATTTCGAAGCCTCAGGGATGCATGAAGAAACATCACTAGGGGAAGGAAAGTAACAGTAAGCCACAAGTATTTTTCACTAGATAACCAGTGAAAACAGCTGACATTGCTCCAGTGGCGGCCAACAAATCTGCTCTATTGACATACTGTGCTAAAGCAAGATCTTTTTAAAATCTTAGTTTGTCAACTAAGCCACAATACTTAAGCTATAAACCATGGTTTATAAGCCATAAGGATGAATTCATATATCAAGCCCAAAAACAAAAAAGCCACATTTTGAGCATGATATGTGAACTTACTCAATATCTTTATTGAATTTCACAATTGTCATATAACACACTAAGTCCTAATATACTTTTTTTAGTTTGGGCTTAATATGTTATACGAACTCAGCCACTGAAACTTGTAAACTAGAGTATATAGCTTAGCACATTGAGTGAAACAACCAATTGTGGTTTACTGAATATTAATGGTTTCAATATCATAGCTTAACATGATGTGTCAACCATGTCATTCTATCTACAGTACTCATAAGGAATAATTATATGCTTATGAGAGAGTCCTCATCCGGGGTTAATGGCAACACAGCAGAATTAATAGCCTCTTGTTCAAATTGAAATTATGAATTATATGTAAATCCTTTCTGTTAGCCATGCTTTTGGAGATGACATGAACTACTTTATCTACTGAGAAAAACAAAACCCACTTAGAACCAAAATCCTATGCATGCATACACACAACATAACATCCAGATTTTTCAGATCCTTGCTGTGAATGCAGAGATTATTAAAACTTTTTCTGCTGGTGATGGAGCTCTGTAATCTAGCCTAACCGCCAGCCCAAATAATGTAATTTTGGCTCAGCTAAATGGACAGCCAGCCAAATATTTATGTTTTTATTAGTCCAATTCACACAGCCACCCATCTATCCAAGAAACTCTGGGTGGCAAACAAAATAAAATACAGTGGTACCTCGGGATACGAACTTAATCCGTTCCGTGACTCTGGGCGTATCCC